TGCCCACTTTTGCCCACGTGGTGTACGCCAGCCTGCGGGTTTCGCTAGGGAAGGCCTGAAGGCTTTCCCTCATAAAAGCTAGGCTGCTGCCGCCACCGCCACCCACCTGCTTTCGGCCACACGGCCTACACCATCTCGCGACTTTCGCAAGTCCCGCCACCCTCCCTCGTACTTAGTTGCTTACCTGAGGGAAGCAGCAAGCTCCTGGAAGGCTAAGCGAAGGGAGGACCGATCAGCAAGCTGTCAGCTCGGGAATGAGAAAGAGAGGAATGTTGACCGTTGGCACCATGCTTTTAAATGGATCACCTCCAGCCCGCTCACTAATTGGCTGGACTCCAGCCAATCAGTGAGTGGTGGGATGGGTTAGCCTAGTTTAGTGCAGACTGGCAGGGGGGGGGAACAAGCTGCAACAGGACAGCAAGGGCGATCGAGCGACAGGGCCGGTGCCAGTATTCCCGGAAGTTACTTTTGGGTCCACCGGTCGAACCTCCTCTCACCAGCTCACTGGATTTCACGAACCGATTCACCTGAACCGGTGTGAACCTGCAGAAACCCACAACTGACATCTACATCATCTACATCATCTACATCTACATCTACATCTACATACATACATACATACATACATATATAATTACCATATTTTTCTGAGTATAAGATGCACCTTTTTTCCTCAAAAATGAGGCTGAAAATCTGGGTGCATCTTATATACTGAATACAGCATTTTTGCCTCCCGAAACCCCATCCCTTCACCAAAATGGCCATGCAGAGCATTTAGGATGCTTTTAGAATGCTCCTGGGGGCTGTGGAGGGCAGAAAGGAGTAAAAAATGGGCCGCTTTTTGCTCAATTTTGACCACCCAGCTCCCAGAGCACTCTACAAGCCTCCTAAACACTATTCATGCCCTTTTTTTGAAACACTGGACTCATTTTGGCGAAAAACAAGTCCTTTGGGGGAGGTCTGCAGAGTGCAAAACCTTTTTAAAAAATGTGCCTCTTCAAAATCTTTTCTTCTGATGCATCTTAAACTCTGAAAAATACGGTATATGTTATATCATATTTACAGGATAATATAGGACAATAGGATAATATGAATCCAATCCTACATTTTAGTGATTTTTCTGTTATATTTTCAAAAAAGACCATTCAAGCAATCATATAAGTTGCTGATACTAATTTCATTAACCCATAATTTCTCCAAAATGTCTATCCACTGTAGAACTTCAGAAGCAGCAAAATGTTTGGGTAAATATATAGAAAAGATGTTTAAATGGAATTAAAAACATGAGGATTAGTAAAAGTTGAGTGAATTCTCCTCTTTTTTCATAATATTCACAGAGTGGTTGTTGCCATGAAATCAGCTTAGTTGGTTTGAATCATCTGCACCAATCCAGCGAAGACACATGAGTTGATGTGGAAAAGTTGTAGCAGGCAATTGGATAGTGATTATAATACGTGTTTAATGGGGTGTGGTTAAAAGAAGGAAAGGTTTATTAAAAAAGGGATCAGGGCATTTTTTGTTGTTATTCTTTCTTTCTCTCAGCCAGATCAAACAGAGTTATTTCTTTATCTGAAGCTGAAGAATAAAAGCACAGGTAAGGAAAATTAACAGAATTCTAAGTGGTCTGCTTCATATTGAATTAATAAGTAATAGTAAAACGAACTGGGAAGCTGTTGCATTTATTGTTTTGTATGGTGGATCTGGCAGCAAGCTTTGGAACATTTGCTTATAAAAAAGAAATATTGGTAGAATATATTTCTCTTTTGAAATTAACATTATATAGGTTTTTGTGTTTACAAAGATCATCCTGAATTCCTCTTAATGCTTAACGATTTATTTTCTTTGTCTTGTATTCCTGGATGAAACATTTTTATAGTTTTATACAGGTAGTCCTTAATTTATGACCAAAATTGAGCCTCAAACTTTTGTTGTTAAGTGAAACATTTGTTAAATGAATTTTGCTCTATTCTAATTTTGCAATCCATTTTACTAATTTTGTCCTATTTTACTTTTCTTGCAACATTTGTTAAGTGAATCACTGCAGTTGTTAAGTTAGTCACACGGTTGTTAAAAGAATCTGGCTTCCCCATTGACTTTACTTGTAAGAAGGACACAAAAGGTGATCACATGACTCCGGGACATTGCAACTGTCACAAATACATTTCAGTTACCAAGTATCTGAATGTTGATCGCATGCCCAAGGAGTTGCTGCAATGGTCATAAGTTTTACAAACGGTCATAAGTCACTTTTTTCAGTGCCGTTGTAACTTTGAACGGTCACTAAANAACATTAGCTTAGATAGTAACTGATTAAAAACACAGCTAATTTACTCCTTTGGAACAAAACATATCTGATAGAAATCTAGTTGGTGTTGACTAATTAAACCTTTGGAACAAAACTTATCTGATAGAAATCTAGTTAATGTTGACTAAGAGTTTCCCAAGTCACCTGAAACAGATCCACATAAAGCACATTGTGTTATTGTACTATATCTTTCACCTTTAGAATACTTCCATGAGATATGGCCTCTTATTTGCATTGGAAAAAAAAGTAAGAAAATAATGATGCTGAAAATATACTAATTTCCAAAGTTCATAATATAGTAAAACCTCTATTCAGGAGAAGCAAGATATTCATTAAATTCAAATGTGCATTAATTCTGCATTAACATTATTGTAACAAGAAATGTACAGTAATATGTAACACCATGTACTTGTTGTAAATGGCATCTTTTGTAATAAAGCTTTGATTTAACAATACTCTTAATGAGGGACGAACTGAGCTAAAGTTATTTCATATTCAGGGCGAAGTTGATCAGCAGATCTGATCCATAATTAGAAAAGCCAAATGAATCGAGTTGCATGTGCTCCTTTTCCCTTGAGGAACATTTTCCTAATCAATCAATCAATCAATCAATCAATCAATCAATCAGAATAGAGCTGGAAGGGATCTTGGAAGTCCAACCCCCTGCTCAAGCAGAAGACCTTATATGAGGGGTGTCAAACTCTATTTCATTGAGGGCTGCATCAGGGTTGTTTGACCTTGGGGGTGGGGGGGTGCCCAGGGTGGGCATAGCCAACTTGATGTCACTCGTGTTGGGGGCATCTGTGGGGGTCCTAGCAGTCTGCCAGAGAAAACGGGCTCCCAACAGTCTCTGCCAGTGAAAATGGAGCTCAGGAGGGCCACTGTTTTCTGCAGTGACGGCCTCCTGCAACCCTCTGCCAGCGAAAATGGAGCTTGCGGCCCTACAGAGCTCCGTTTTCGCTGGCAGAGGCACTGCGGGCCAGTTCTTCGCATGTTTCCAGGGCAGCCCCGTGGGCCAAATCAGAGCACCCCCCGGGCCTTGAGTTTGACACCCCTGCCCTATACCATTTCAGACAGATAGTTCTTTTCTTAAAAATCTCCATTGATGAAGCACCCACAATTTCTGAACTCAAGCTGTTCCAGCCAATTAATTGTCCTTACCGTTAAGAAGTTTCTCTTGAATTACAGGTTGCTTCTCTTAATTAGTTTTCATCCATTGTTTCTTGTCTTGCCTTCTGGTGCTTTGGAAAATAAGTTGTTTCCCTCTTCTGGCAGCCCCTCAAATACTGCTATGATGTCACCACTAGTCCTTATTTTTTATGGTTTGGCCATACCCAATTTCTGCAACCGTTCTTCATATGTTTTTATCTCCATGCCCTTAATCATTTAGTTGCTCTTTGCACTTTTTTCTAAAGTCTCAACATCTTTTTTGTAATGTGTTGACCAAAACTGTATGCGGTATTCCAGGTGTATAAAGATTTATAAAGCCATTACTAAGTATGAAGCACTACTAATACTTCACGTGATTTTGTTTCTGTGCCTCTGTTTATAGAACCAAGGACTGTGTTAGCTTTTTTGGCTGCCACCTCACACTACTGGCTCATTTTTAAGTAATTGTCCACTAGGACTCCGAGGTCCCTCTCAGGGTTACTTTTTTTTGAGCCAGGATTTTCCCTAATCTGTACTTGTACCTTTGTTTTTTCTTTCTAGGTGTAAGACCTTGTTTTTCTTCACATTAAATTTCATTTTTATCCATAGGGCCCATTATTCAAGTCTGTCAAGGTCTTTTTGGATCCTGAACTTGTCTTCCGTAGT